TTTTGTTGTTTTTTCCAGTTGCAATCTTCCACTTCCATGTCAGTGATCCGCGTACGTAGTCACTAGCGTACACCGACACCCGTTTTTGGGGTCAGTATGCACACCAGTTTGCTCGCTAGTTTTCCCCCATCAAGGGTCAAGGATCCAAGAATTAGTGGGGAAAACCAAGAACAAACGATGTGGTTTGCTAATAGCACCCCCCAAAGAGAGATAGAACATGATCGAGCCAGGATATAGGAAACAAACGACACACAAAGTTTCCCATACATGGCCCATACATGTCAAAAAAAGGGATTTGCTTCTATCTGTTTGTGGGGATCACTGCAGTGTATACGATCCAGTTCCACTGGCCAACTGTCAAACCATCGTCAGGATGAGCTGCTGGCGACTTGGGCCCCTGCACGACGACTGACCTCTTTGTGTCTCGCCGTTCGGCGCTGTCAAAAGACACTCGCCCTGTTTGTACCACTTTTTGGCACCAGCACCTCGCCACGCGCAATGCGCGTAGCCTCCCAGAAGGTGATTCCACATGGGTCACTTCGGTGAATCCGTGGGACAAACCCAGCAGTTGGTGGAAAGAAGATCACCGCGCATGGGGGGCCATGGAGGACCATGGAGGACCATGGACTCCCAGTGAGGGGGGCTGTCGTGTTTTTTTGTTGTTTCGGGCTTATGCCCGGCGTCCAAAGTGTTGTATGTTTGCTATTATAGGCTCTGCCCTAGAGAACATCTTCTCATGGACATCCGCCTAAATTCTGCAGATTGGTTGGTATATATGTAAATAAATATATATATATATATTTTGTTTCATGCTGGAAAGTCTCTGTCGCAACAGGGGTGCTCCTGCAAGAAGACCTAAAATTGGCAGACGTGCCCAAAAAATGAAGGACGAACATACTCAATGACAACTGTTGGGCCAGGTATGGGCCAAGATTTTGGAGTTCCAGGGTAACACTCACCACGCACAAAAAGACACAAAACCAGCAATCCAGCTGTCACCATGTCAGAGTCAGTGCCTGAGGATCTTTGTTTGCACGGTATGCCAGGAATGTGCAAGGATCAAAGAAGGATCGGAGAGCAGCTGCCACTCCGGTCGCCCGATGTGTTTGGGGAGGAATGCTACATGTTTTTCTCCAAATGACCAAATGGATTGGTTTTCTCACAACATGGATTCCAATTCTTTCCTCCAAAATGGACTCAACTGGGAGTGTTGGATTCCGTGCGTGAAGCAAAAAACATGGACCGGTCGGTGCATGAGAAGGTCGGCGCATGTCTTTTCTGTGGAAGGTCGGTGGAGTCCGGGTCAACGACGGTCAGGTGAGCTCAGAAGAGTGATTCCATCTCGTTTGGATGTTTGTTGAGGCCCCCCCATATCAATCAATTAAAGCAATTCAAAGCACATATTAATACTATAAAACCGCATGTTATGTAGTTTGAAGAGGCATCGCTTGTGAAAAACTCTCTGTGACACTGTGGGGTTCCAGACGTGCATGTCAGCATGTTTTCTTCACTCCGGGCAACTGGCGACGTGGTCTGTGGTGAACTTCTTCCAAAGGAACCAAGACCAAACGACCAACAACTGCAGGGCCCCTGGGTTTCCTAAACGCCTGAGTGTTCCATAGTTGTTCCAACACCCTACAAACATTTGTTTATTTTGATGGACGTTTAGGGCCCCCATTGGTTTTGAGGCTCCATCGTTCTCCAGCCGTCCTCATCCCACGTGGACGCCGTCGTGCAGGACATGGGCCTCATCCCACGGATCAGCGAAGCGCTCTTCGCACGGCTCGTGGCTTGTTCTCGTCGCCGATTCGAGCCGGTGGAGGAAGAGTTGGGGATCCAAACCAAGGCGCGCACTGCGGATGTGTATATGTACACTTAGGGGGGATGGTCCATGGTTCTTTAAACTTTAAACATTGAGAACATGTTGACAAGAGATCCCAAGCAGGGGGTGGCGATGAGTGCTGGGGTAGTTAGAGGTGATCTGGTGGGGGTGCTGCAGGCTACTGTTTTCGTTCACTTCGAAGTCAAGGGCTGGTGCTTGCCACACAATTGGGCACACAGAATGTCCACACCATGTTGCGGCCACGAAGATTGAAACTGAAAGATTGCACCTGTGAAAACCAGGGGGAGGGACATTCTTTGCCACAGCATTATGTTCGTTGGATCCTTTGGGTGTTTTGGCCTTTTTCTTGGCTCAAACACTTCACAGGATGGTTGACAGGTCAATTCCCACAGAACCCATCGCAAAAAGTGGGACCTTCTGGATCCCCCAGCAGTGTGGGTAGAGCATCTCGGAGACCGGGCCCCCTGGAGAAAAACGCCCGGAAGGCCTGGGATGAATAGCCAAGGCTGAGGCCCAAAGGAGCAGCACGACCAGCCGTTCCTTGGATTTTTGCAGCTGACGTGCAACGATTCTTGTAGGGCTTCAAGTAGCTCCTGGGAACGTGTTGTGGACCCTTGAAACCCACCCCAGTCCCACCTTCTCAGAAGATACTTGGAGCCCTAAGTGGAATGGATTTGCGGATGCCACTTGGGAACTTCTGGTTGCAGTTGTTTAAGTTCCTGTTGATACCGAGCCTTTGGAGCCATTTTTTTTTGCGGCGACTAGTGGCAGCCCGGCGCACTGATGAGCCCAAAGAACTACCGTGCTTGAAACCGCTTCTGTTGAACCTCCGGAGTTGCAATAGGGCCAATAGGGGTGTTTTTAAAGCGGAAGAGAGTGGACAATGGATTAACAGTTGGATACATATATAGTTCTCTGTCAGTCTCTCTCTCTATACACATGTAATGGGCCTAGCCTCTCCAATATCCACCCTTGGGAGCCATCTTACCTGACGAAAAGAGGGGGGTGAAAAGAAGTTGGTCCGGCAGGCTTAGCGAGTCGAAAGGTGGCCCTGCCATTGTTGCTCAGATGTTTCTGTGGAATTGCTCGAGGTTTCCTGGTGCAATGCAGTTTTTTGGAAATCTACAATGAGGCGCGTGCTGCACTCGGAGCGGTCCCTGACACCACGGTCCGAGTGGAAATCCGTTTTCACGTGTTTGTGCCGTACTACTGTAGTTGTTTGACCATCAAGTATACGAGCAGACAGCCCATGGAAGTGGATGGCATGGCCCTTTTCAGGAATGACCAAACAGGTGGTGCCATCCACTTCCATGATGATTTCGGGGAGCGTATCGTGGATTGAGGGTAGATGGCGCAATATCCACAAGGTAATTGGACCCCAGACCCCATCTATCTATTTATTATATATCATCTACCTATATATATATATATATACTAAACATAAGCATTATAAGTCATCTTGGGGGTTCTGCCATCTAATCTGAGACCTTTCTACATGTTCTATCAGCTCCCTCTTCCAGGCCTCTTCAGGCTGTGGAACCCCCGGCTGGGCAGGGACGCCGGAACGCCGCGGCCCGCCAGGTGATTTACGACCTGTTGGTGCCGAGGAGCCGTGATCTTAGAATCCGGTCGGGATGTGGATGTGTTTTTCTCTGAAAAGGATGGCCTGAATATGGGCGCCTACGGGGCCGATAGAGAAGATGCACTTTGAGATAGTTGATTGAGATTCGCATGGCCAGGCGATGCTGCCCAGCTTAGCCTTGTCAGGAGATTTTGGAACAGGGTTGAATGCTTTTTAGGATGGGAGTGGGTCTGGGAGTGTGGAGAACTCGTTGCTCCCCCATCCCTGCTTATTTTACATTCCGGGTCTATTCTTGGTTCCTGTGGTCGTTGGTCCACCAGGGCACCGAGGATTTCGACGCTGAGGCAAAGACTCCCGAGGCAAAGGTCTTGAGATCCGAGAGCAGAAGGCACGAGACGATGGATAGGTTCAACAGGAACCCGCATTACAGTGGTTTCAGAGTAGATGGTACAAACCTGTAACATGTCTTTAGATGGAGGTTACTGTAGATGGCGACACGCAATAGATGAGAGGCATTAGACCCCAATTCTTAGTGAAGGCGGAGAATTCAATAGCCACAGGTGTGTGTTTATCACGAGCTGATTACATAACAGATCCTGAATAGACGTGTTCTCTTGGCCTGCCACCCTTCTTTCGAGTGTGCGTTACCAAATTTGACTCTTCCCGATGAGGTAGATTCTGCTTTTCAACTGTCGAACATTCAACTGTGCACTGAATTGAGCACTCATTGCTGTAATGGTCAAACCTGTTTGCTCAATGTGCCTCTCCCACCTTTTCTGTTCTTGTTTTAGCTTCTTTTAGCCTGAATTCATTGATTGTCCAGAGAACCCTTGCAGTCCTTGCATTCATAAGTTGGCGGTCGACGGCGGTGATGGTGCAGGTAGGTGGTTTGTAGTTGACTGTGTCACATTGGAAAGCACACCTAGATATTCAAGACATTGTACGTAAGTAGACAAAGGATATAAGGTCAGCGGAAGATTTGCCTTTGGCATCGTCCTCGTGTGTTTTGCTGGGGGTGGCGGAAGACACCAATTACAGAGACAACTAACACAAGAAAACAAAGAGAAACAATAACACAGGACCAATATTGAAGGTGGACGCGTGTTTAAATTGTTTATATAAGATCGTTGTCCTTCACTCCCGGACTTGCAGGGTATAGTTGTGTTCATTTTCTCTTGGCTGGCCGATCTTCCTCGGTTCCCGTTGTAGCCAGCTTTCCTAGTCCTAGTCCATGTCAAGGATTCCGAGGGGCTAGGTCAATGCTGGATAGGTAAATATTCCCAATCAATCTACCTGATAGACTGGACCTACCCCAAATTCTTGACCAAGAGTCGATCCGAATCCTATTTGTCGTTTGCCTATGTTTCTTTGGCGTTTGCTGTATATATTATATATAATATGGTTAATATGCTGACTAAAACCCTGACTAAGTTAGCATATGCTGTAATATGTTAATATGCTATCGACCACCTCTTAGGTTATTTTTTCTTCGCCGCCCGCACGTCTAGTTCATCGCTTCAGCTTGGCTCAGCCGACCGCGGTCGACGCGGTAGAAGCGGTGAAATCTCCGCGGGGATGGATGCCTCACATGAGGGGGGAGCCGGGAGGCTTATGGATGAAAGGGCTTTGGAATGGAGGAACACCCCTACTTGGAGAACAATTAAACATGCTCATACCAAACAGGTGGCGACATCCACTTCCATCGTTTTTTGGGAGTGCCGTGTAGAATGTGTAGATCTCATTGGGATCTCCCTGGTGCTGTGGCGGTCATGTGGCGGCCAGGCTCTACAAGGTACCCTTCAACCCCCCCAATCGATGAAGCACAGGACCACACCTGCGGGTGTCAGGGTCTTCTTTTTTGAGCCGTTTAGCCTGGTAGCCATGTGTGAACTTCAACAAATATGTGCGCCAGTATGTGCGCCATATTGCAGAATACGCAGTGCAAAGCCGGCATTTTGCTTGCAAGCAACAACTGGATTCAACTCTTTTGTTCAAAAGCTGCTTTGATAATCAGACCAAGGCAGGGCAAGAGTCACCCCGAAGCAAAGTGACCTTGATACTCATGGTTGGGTCATCCCAATCATAAACCCTCGCTCTGACAAGTGCAAGTGAAATGTGGTGGTTCCTTTCCAAAGTTGCTTGTGCTGCTTGTGGTAGCAAATGTGTAAGTTGGCCAAGACTCACCTCGAAAACCGTTGTCCAATGTGTGAAACATACGTTCTACATAGCAGCCATGAAAGATGAAGTCTTTTTGCTCGAGTAAAGGCGGTTTGATTCTCGAACCGGCTGAGTTTTTGAAGCGTTGCTGAAAGAAGTGGAATATAGGGGACATGCCCTGGAAGTATCAAGTTCTAATTGCCGAAGTGATTGCAACGTTCTGAAAGAAGCAGCCGTGTGCCGTGTGCAAGAAGTTTGTCGATCTCGGGGCATCAGCTTCAACATCAAAGTTTACCTTATAAGGTCCAGTACATTGCATCTACAGTCTATATAACCCCTAACTAGCAGCTAGCAAGCACTTTGTAGAGGAAGATCTTCATCCATATCAACTCCACTTCATGTCGTGCCGGCTGTGTTAGCATTTGGCAGGGTATCAAAACATACATCCACCTACTATAGCAAACCCTACCAAACACCACAAATTCAGGGTGTTTCTTACTTAAGATCAACCACATCTAGTGAATCAAAACAAATCCACCGCCTGGGCGTCCGGTGTCGCCTGCACGATCGACCTGAGGCTATGGGCTCCACCGCACGCTCGAATGCCAGCGCTGGCGCCAGCCCGAATACCAGCGTGAGCCCATTGCGGAGCGCCTCGCGCTTGCACCGGTCCTCCACGCAAGTGGCGGAAGCCTTAAGCAACTTGGAGGTCGATGAGGCGAGTGAAGAGTGAGGAATAGCGAAGACATAAGGGCCGAAAGCCTGACGTGTTTGTGGCATATTGTGGCAATCACCTGATGTTGAAATATGTTGAAAATCGTTCTCTTTCGATCTCTTTTGTAACTGTCTCCAACGACGGCGCACCTAACAAATCTGTGCTGGATCAATGCCTTGGCCACACGAGTAAGCATGCGGCTAGGTGGGGGTGCTATTTGGCTACCTCAATTGGCAGCCTGACACCTGTCAACCAGTGAAACAAAGGCTTGGCTCCCTTATCGAGTGATGTACCACACCGGCTGCCGGTGAACAGGATGCCTCGGCCATTGCTCCAAGTTCCATGCGTCACAAGGTTGTTGGTTGGCTTGCTCGGGCCACCTGTTGGCAGTCTTTTGGGTAGGTGGGGTCAGTCGAAGACAGTTCTTTTCTTTTCTTATCCGGCGGCAGTTTCAACATGTGCCAAGTTAGTTGAATTGGAAGCAAACTTGAGAAACAACACATGCTGACCCCAGCCACCTCCGGGTTTGAAGGCCACCCCTTACCGCCATTTCTCATTGTGGAAAGAAACATGCTTCATGCTGAGCTTTGTTGATGGTTTTCTGATGTTTTCTGCCCGACCTAGGTAGTGCCCTCGCACAGTACAACAAGCAGAGGTCAGAAATCAGAAGTAGCGCAACAGCGTGCCCTTCTCAGCGTGCGCAATCAGCTGTTTCAGCTGCAATTCGCTTCGAAAGAGACCGAAGAAGTCATTTTGGGTTCATTCAGCGTTTTGGGTGGTTCATGCAGCGGTAAACCGCTGGCTGAAAGAAGCATTTTTTGGACGCATGTTCATTCATATATGAACAGCAGGCACATACGACATGTAACTGTAATGAATAAAACGAGAAGACTATAACACTGCCACTTTGTTTGTTCCAGCAATTGATTCAGTTTTGGGTTCTCATCCTTAGCTCGTGAATTGAGGAGAAAAAAGGCCAAGAGCAAATCGAGGCTGCACGAGTTTGTGTCCTGGCAGTGAACTTGGCGGGGGTGTGCATTTCCAGCAAGAGGTGACAAACAAGTTCTGTTGTCAGTTGATGAAGGCCAGGTCCCAAGTATATAGTACTCAAAAACTCAAGAGTCAGAATGGACAACTTGCCGCAGGACATATTTGGGTTCCCCCTAGCGACATCAAGCGGTTGATTTCTGCACTTGGTCCGCTATGAGCATGGCAACTGCGCTTAGTTTCCTGAGCCCAAACATGCCCATACAACTGTGATCAACTGTGAGATTTCCAGGGTAGTGGCTAAGCTTGAAGTAAACCGTGGAAAACTGGGGTTATGAGGGGAGAAGGGGGGCAACCCCTTGAAAGCTTACAAGGTGAAACCGCTTGATCCCAGGTCACCGGGAGGTAGGTCCACAAATCTGAAGAGACCGACTATACCCAAACACTCCATAGGATTACAACTGATATGGCCTACATTCAACACACCAAAAAAAAAACTCCCGTCATGTATGCCAAAATTAGCAGTCCCATATAGAACACTGGGAACATCATGGGACATATAAGGTTTGCATAGGCCTGCCATATCCTAGGGTTTGGATCGTGAGGAGCCCATGGAACGGATGCGGATCGGCAGATGTTTCAATTTGAAGGTTCCCTTCAGACCACAGCCGTGGCACCACCAAGATACGCGTCTCAACGAACGAACCTTTCGGCAGACCGGTACGCACGGCCCTGACTCGGCAGGGCTCCTCCACCGGTGTGTGGTAGGTCTATGCTAGATGTTGTTCGTATCAGTCAGGAGGACGTGGAAGCGGAGCTTTAAAGTGTATGTTATCATATTGTTAATATTGTTAGTTGATCTCTTCCCTACAAATACATGAGCAGCTGTTCTTTCCAGGAATTTTGGGCTAGGATGATGTAACCAGTCACGTGGCTGAATGGGAAGAGCCCTTTCGCAGCCATCCTCAGGTCTCCCGTTGCTTAGCACGCTGCGGCTGCTGTAAGAGCGCAGAAGGAGGGTTCGAGACGTTCGTTGAGTCATCGAATGTGGTATAGATGGGTGTCTAGACACCGTGGTGCAATTGATGTGGTTTAGGGTACCCCAGCCTGTGCAATGAGAGCCGATTGATTCGTGAGGTTTCCTTTGCCGGCCATGGTGTGTCAAATCTATCAAATCCAATGCGGTTTTAAACAATTAATTGCTTCATCAATCTTCATCATGTGTCAGCTTCCGACGGGATTTCACACCCAAGTTGATCGAACATCTTGACCTTGAAACGCTTCCCTACCTTTGGGATCCTTGTGGTCATCGTCTACTCTCCAAAGCTACCACCCAGCTGTATACAGATGGAACACTCCTACCCTCCCTGGTCGATCTTCGTTCCTCGAAGGCCTATGTTTTTTGTTCGAGGGGCGGAGCGACAGGGGGGCCGGGTAGGGTGTTGGATGATATTTGGCCAGACTCATGCAGATCTCCTCAATCCTTTGCATCTCCTCAGGAGTTGTTCCGCCGAATGCAGCTTGGCTTAGCCAGGTTCACGGGTGAACCTGGTCCTTCTGAGCGGTCGGAGTTTGTGCTACAGATCTGGGGCCTTGGGGGTGCCAGGAGTTTATTGTTCTCCCTTTTCAAGCGGTCGGAGGGCTGTGTTACTATAGCTCTTGATCCTGTGATTGACCACAAATGCGACGATGATTATCGATGAAGCGATGCTAGAGTAACAGTGACGAATTGGGGATGACATCCATGTTACCACTTAAGCTTCGGCGGTTGCAATGTGCATAAGGCACAAGCCCCTGTTCATTGGCCTTCACTTGTTGAGCAGTCGCGCCGAGACGTTTGACCATTTTCACGGCGTTGATTTGAAACTTGTTGAAACACACACACAATCAGACAATCACACACACACATCAAAAAAAGCCATCGTTTTGGTTGCTTGACCTCGTCTTTGCCGATCCCATCGGAAGAACTGGGACCAAACACCCCCTCCAGACTCCGGAGGTCCGCAGAACCGCTCTCCTCCCCGCGACCTTATCGCTGACCGCCCGCCTGCTGGAAAACACCGAGGTGACGCTGACCACGGATGTGGAGGACTTGAAGCAGGAGATCCGACAGAAGATGACCAAGCAGACCTACTCCGTGAAGGCTCCGGTCGCGCTTCACTCCGCTGGGCAGATCCGACAGACACGGGTACCGCGCACGGGTAGGTCGTGCCGACAGTGGCCTTACCCGGCGTGAGAGACGGGCGGCTGTTCGGGTAGAGATATGGGGCCCAATATGGGGTGGAAGATGACACCTAATGCTAAACATATGCAAGCTGTATATATTTGTTTGTGTGAGTCTAAGTGTGTGTGTGTGTGTCCACTCCTGTTTCCAAGGACACTACCCTAGTTTTTCTAATCTACCCTACAAGCTTTTCTGTACAGACGCAGGGGGCGACAGAGTCGCTGCATGGCTGTCGCCAACGAAGCTCCATGCAGTTGACTAGGATATCACGGCTGATCACCGTGACGTACCTGCAATTTTAATACTAATTTTGATTTTCAATCGCTGAGATTTCTAAGTCAGTGCAACGCTGTCTCATACGTTGTTTCCTGCAGTATCTAGATTTAAAGGGCTAATGCACACCGCGAAGCTACCTGAAATCACGCTCCACGGAGCAACCTTCTCAAGTGTGTCTTCGCAGCTTCTTCCCACTGTGTTGAGCTGTGTGATCCCTACGGGGCGCCGTTACCGCAAGAACCTGTTCACTCCTCACCGAGGGAGTAAGTTTCCTGAATTTTCTCTGAAGTCCCTTAGACTGAATTTGACCTGCTCGAAATCAGCTTGGATCGTCTCACCCAGCACACGTGAAGATTACTGCAGAGTTCACTGAAATCCTTTCTGAATCCCACTGCAGAGTTAACTGAAAGAGTTTCACCCGGGAAATCCATTCATACCTTTCCAATCTTTTTAACCTTTCAAATCTTTTTAACCTTCCAAGTTTTAATTCCATTTTCCAGAATTTTAATTGCGGTTATTCAATACACTTCACAATTTCTACGACCTCACGGACCTTATTTATTTATGTATTTATTTTCATACATACATACATATTTTCACTGTCTTTGACCTGCCGAGCAGCCATGACGTATCCCTGGCCCTATTCTTTGCCGCCACACATCCACCCACAACCACAACCTACACAACCTCATTGGATTCAATTTCCACCACAGGCATCACCACAACCTTTTTCAACACTGCCACCGACTCCACCGCAACACCCAACCTCACATCACTACCCATTGCCCATTACACCTCCACCTCATGCTCAATACATCCAACCACATCAACTTCAGGCACATTTTCCAGTGCAACCTACGGCTCCCTTCGACACTACCCAACTTGCGCAACAACATCCACATCTCACAACTCAATCACCACAATCCCAAGCTCACACACATCTTACATTGCCACTTCAGTCTCAATCTCAATCTCAACCACCACCTCATCAACTACATCAACCACATCTACCACATCAACTACCTCCATCACCACACACGACAAATCAAACCCCTGCCACAACATCTTTTCAACCACCACCACTACAAGCACCTGATGTACTACAAGCACCACCACCTGATCCAACAACAATCACTTCACAGCAGTTGACCACACCAACTCCACCACCACCACCTTACACCTCAACAACCTCACCAGCGACTACTCAACCTGCTTCAGCATCCATCAACACACCCGCACAGCCTCCGCCACCACACCACATACCACGCACTGCCAAGCCAACACCATCCATTGCACCCACACTCAGCACTACAAGAGGCATTTGGCGCGACCCAGATCGCTCACCACCACGCACACCTAAACACCACCGCTACTCAGCCTTTCCAGCCGTACCTTCCATTGCACCATCACAAGCTACATCCAGATCCAGGAGCCGCACTCGATCACTACGGACCACACGCTCTCCACTACCAAGACGTCGAAGCTCCGCCACACAATCCGTGGCTAGTTCTCAAGCTCAATCCAAACCTGCAGACAGACAAACATCACGATCACCAGCAATCACCCAAGACAAAGCTCACACTTCCATCCAAAACATCACTACAGCTGCTACTGCAAAACACACTCCAGAGCCACCTCGCCGTACTTCCAGCATTACACTCAAGCCCAACCCACATTTCACTCCCAAACACTCCACACAACAGTCACCTCCACCACCACCACCAGCACCAATACCTGCAATTCCAGTCCAACGTCGACCTCACAACTTACCTCCTCCAACATTCCAACCACCCACCGATCCAGCACAATTGGATGTCTTCCAATGGCTCAACCGCTACGCACAAGCACTTGATGTCAAAAATGAACCCATGCTTTCCTACGTGGCCAAAGTGCTCAGTGCAGCTCATCTCAACAGCACCCACTTTACCGACCTACAACTTCTCACCCACACAAAATGGTGCGATGATACCAACAAAGAAGAGCATTATTCCTTCCTACTACTCACAATCCCCACATTAGCGAGCAGGGGCGACGCCCCGATTCTTCCTCCTACACGGAGAGAGGCGCTGAACATACCACCTATCAAACACATTTTTGCGGCACACGTGAGCGAGGAGGGCAACATCATTTCAATACTTGAAGCAGGAGAAATCGTGCGATCCATTCTGCATGATGCTCACAATGTGGGATATTTTTGTCAGGCGTTTGAATTGTCGAACTACGAGCCCCATGATGCTGCTGAAGCTGCACGCGTCCTCTTCAATGCTTCCAACATGGCCAAGAACCGCAGCGGTCTCATTCTGACGATCAAAGCCTATGGACACGGCCAGAAAGTCACTCATGGTGGCGAATCCGCAGCGAATGACTTGCTGCTCAGAGGAGAGGGGATTGTAAAATACACCCCAGGAAAATGCTGGGTGGCCCATCCCAAACATTCCAGAATCGAAGGGATAGCTTGGAAAAGCGATGCAAAGCCACCGCTCAGTTTCATTTAATTCAATCTATTCAGCTCACGAGGTTCATTTTTCACCCCGTATCTTGGATGACGACCTAGCCTCAAACAATCTCAGCCAGCCTGCTTGACAATGATATTGACTCTGATTTTCTCACACATCGTTGTCACCTTCCTTTTCTTCCGATATGTCATTCTTGTACAGATTGATGCCGACAACATGATCTTTTTCACGGTGACTTTTCCAATTTTCCAGACTTGCAGCATGTCAACATTCCTGGTTGTTATCAAGCTTTTGAAGAGAGTCACAAGCATTTCGAAGAGAGTCGCAAGATTTCCTGTGATTTGCAACCTGCACCGCAGCCATTTTGTATTATCTTGAATATTGAGCTCGATCCCTGACGACCAGCCGAGCTATATTTGCCTCCCGACGACTACCACGACGATGACTTCCCCTTTGGACACGGCATTTGCCCATCGGCTTCTCTTAGCACACCTTCAAGCAGCCACCTCCATTGCTACTACTTTTCAAAACCTTCCACCATTTACACCGCAACTACCACAACAAGCACATCACCCACTCACTACCACTCCACCTTCCCCCCCAAGACCAGCCAGACACACTCCTCCTCCACTGCAACCACAGCCGTCCTTCTCACGCAGCCGCAGTCCGCCTCCCGCCAAAAGCAAACCATTCATGGAGTGCAAACCAGAACCTTCTCCTTCACATACGCCCACTTCACCACATCAGTTTTCACCACACCGCCACAAGTCCAAAGCGACTCACCAACACAAGAGCAATACAGACCTCCCGAAACAGCGTACACCACCAATCACAACGATTTCTCTCACCAGTTCGCCCAATTCACCTCCACAAACATCACCAGTTCCACCGAATCCGCCACTACCCACACCTTTACCACCTGCATCACCAGTACCACCATCCAAACCAGCACACCTCCTCACGGATTCACCACACTATCCTGACAACGGAGGATGGGAACCCAGTGAAGATGAAAAACTTGCGGCCTTTAAACTCAACAAACGATCTCGCCCCAGTTGGAAATACATAGCAAAAGCACTCAACAAAACACCTTTTGACTGCAAAGGTCGATGGCAAGTCTTGCGAATTCTTTATGCACCTCAACAGCCAGACAGTCCAGAAGCAGAAGCATCATCACCACACAAGGCATCTCAACAAGCAGAGGCAACTCCTCCAGCCACAAAAGATGCCAGTACGATGACTACAGAACCTCCGGATCTGACCGACAAAGAGACATAGAATACACAACAGCAGTCTATGATCGTCCTGACAGTGCTTTCCACGACTTCTTGGTGCTGAAGAACATCCCGAACTATTGATGCCTTTGTATGGTATTTTATTGTCAATTCGTACATATTTACATATTGGCTTATTGCTTTTTGTCGTTCTAGCAGTTGCGAGCAATAGACTCCAACCCACAACACACCATTACAGCTTTCTTCCACACGCGCAGCAAAAACAAGATCGGTCGCCAGCAGTGCACATTTTGCTTGAACGCTTGCCACACACGACAAACTCTCGACCACTGAAGCATCGCCAATACTGTGTACAGACCAGTTTATTCCGTCTAATTCATCGTTTCATTGCATCCATGCGAATCACTATTGAATGGTCTCCCTATTGTTGAACCGGATGAACTTTTCGTTTCCAAGTTTTTCTTTTGGGTGATTTTGACCGCTTTTATGTCTCCATTTTGATGCATTTTGATGTACTTGCAGCTCGGCTAGTTCAACTTAGCTCAGCCTTCCATTCTTGTACAGCTTTTTTCTCTCGACGACGACATCGCGATGGATTCAGATCCTGTTGGGACAGACCTCGTTGCCTTGGATGCCCAAATCATTTCACAACTGCGAGATACAAACATTCAGATCAACCGGCTGATGGTCCTTCAACTTAATCGACTACATGACACTATTCGACAGCTACACTCAGCAGAATCCGACACCAGCACCCCAGACCCACGTCTACCAGGAAGAATCCAACAGCTCCAAACATTGTTGCCCTCGCTCAAAGCAACCGTGGAGCATCAACAGACTTTTTACCACCAATGTCTCAGATTACAACACATACCAAC